AAACTTTTAGGTCATGACACAACATTTCCTGGTCTGATTAGATATGATTATTCCACGGGTGTTTTGGTAGCAGTCTCAGGACTCAGAATGGTCCTTTGGGACCCGAGTTGAGATTTTAGTGCATGTACAGGTTGGTATTCTGCCTGTTTCATTTAGTATCCTCTCATAGACATTTTTACCATATCAATAATAAGAAGTCCTCAAAAACATAAATTTTAATAACAAAAATATTCTAAAATATAGATATATTATAGCTTTTTTCTTTATTTATTGTGGTGAAATACACATAAAAATATTACCATGTTAACTGTTTTTAGGCGAACACCTCAGTGGCATTAAGTGCATTGATAATGTTGTACAACCACCACCACTATCCATTTCTGTAACTTTTTTATCATCCCAAACAAACTCTGTACACATTTAAGTAATAACTCCCCTTACTCTTCAGCTCCTGGCAACCTCTATTCTACTTTCTGGCTCTATTAATTTACTTATTCTAGGTATTTCATATAGGTGGAATGATACGGTATTTGTCCTGTTGCGTCTGGCTTATTTTACTTAGCATAATGTTTTCAAGGTTCATCTATTATAGTACCATGTATCAGAATTTTAATTGCTTTTTAAGGCTGAATAATAATCCATTGTGTGTGTGTGTGTGTGTGTGTGTGTGTGTGTGTGTGTGTGTGTATAAATACATGTATATATACACAAAAAACATTCTGTTTTTCCATTCATCTGTTGATTGGCATTTGGCTTGTTTCCACCATCTGGTCGTTGTGAATAAAGCTGCTATGAACATTGACGTACAAATATCTGCTTGAGTCACTGCTTTCAATTCTTTTTTTTAAAGATTTTTATTGGGGACTTGGGGGGACAGGAAGTGCTGGGGAATTGGGGGAAGGGGAATTGGGGGAACAGGAACAGACAAGCTGCCGTTGTTCCGTTCCTCAGTCTAGCTGTGGAGGGTGCCGCCCCACCAGCCCAAACTGGCACCATCACCGTGCTCCTCCTGGGTGAGGCAGACCAGTCACCGGCCTCTGGATGGCCGCCCACCGCGGCCGCCGGCCGCCCATGCTGGCTGCTGGCCACACACAGCAGCCCATGGCAACCCACTGCCACAGGGGCCGCAGCCTACACCGTTGCCGGAGACCCACGCAGCCCAGCTCCAGGCCGAGCCGCCGTTCAGCATCTCAGCTGCGGAGGGGAGCGTCACCGGCCCTCACACGTGGGATCCAAACCGGGGCCCTCCGGCATCCCAAGCCAGCCCCCAACCATCGCGCCACTCGGCCGGCCCGCTTTCAATTCTTTTAAGTATATTCAATTCTTTTGAGTATATCCAGAAGTACAATTGCTGAATGATATGGTAATTTTATGTTTAATTTTTGAAGAAACTGCCAAACTGTTTTCCATAGTGGCTGCACCATTTTACATTCCCACCAGCAATACACAGGATTCCAATTTCTCCACATTCTCAACAAATTTTCATTTCTATTTATGGATCATAGCCATCCTAATATGTATGAGGTGGTATTTCATTATGGTTTTGATATGCATCTCTCTAATAAATAATGATAGCGAGCTTTTTTTTATATGCTCGATTGCATGAAAAGATCAGGAAGGTGGCCAAGATGGAATAACAGGGAGTGAATTCATCCTTCCTTATGAAACAACCAAAAAAAAAAAGAAATCAGACAAAATACATGAAACAATGGTTTTTAAGATACTGGATATCAGGCTAATCCCTGAAAGTCAGGAAACAAAGAATTGAGCTCTAAAATTGCTCCAGGTTACTTTCTTGTGAAAATTTCCAAACCACACAGTAGAGGTGGGGAACTGAGGTGAAGTCCAGTGATCTCCCTGAATTAAACAGACATAGATGAGAGTACAGGGAGTCTAGAGTTCATAGGACAGAGTACCAGAAAAGCCAGAGCTGCATAAAGAACCCCAGCAACGCCCCTCAAGTATTCAGCAGAGTACTGACCAACATGTGCATATGAAGAAACTACCCAGGAAAGAACCATCCGGAAGCATTAGACAGTGCCCAATGCTCACACAGTGTCAGAAAATAACAGCTGTCGCTGTCAATCAGAATGGAAAAACCCATAATTCAAAGTATTACATAGAATATTCTGGGAGGTCTTGCTTCAGTAGTAAAACATAAGACTGAGCACTTCCCCAGACCCACCTAATAATAAAGCATAAAGCAACACCCAAAAGGATAAAACTGTTTTCAAGTAACTGCACCCCAGAACAAAGTCCCAAATTATTTAAAGAAAATTTTTTTAATCCAGCACCCAACAACATAAAATTCACAATGTTTGTATCCACTCAAAAATTTCCAAGCATTCAACAAAGCAGAAAAATACAGCCTATAATGAAGAGAAATATCAATCAATAGTAAAAGATACACAAAGGAATTGTAATTGATATGTATTGGGTTGTCGGAAAAGTCATGACGCATTTTTGCAACGAAAAACATAGAAAAAATATGTCAAGACTTTTCCAACAACCCAATATAATATCGGGGGTAGGGGACTATGAATTGGGTGAGGAGGGCTGTTACTTTGTGAGGGGTGAAAAGTATAAATATTGCATTGTTTTGTACACTTGAAACTAATAAAAAAAATAGTAACAGACACAGAAATGACACAGATGATAGATTTATAGAAAAATCCATTAAAACAACTATTATAAATATACTCTACATTCAAAACATAGAAGAAAATATAAGCATGTTAAGAAGAGACATGGAATATAAAAAGATCAATATCAAACTTTTACAAATGACAAATATAATGCATAATATCAACAGCACATTAGACACCGCAGGGGAAAAAAAGGTTATTAAACTTTAAGATATAGCAATCGAAGCCATTCAAAATAAAACAGAGAGGGGGAAAAAAATGAACACAACACCAATGATCTACAACAGAACATCAAGCAGCCTAATTAATATACGTATAATTGGAGGCCCCAAAGGAAAGGAAAAGGGGAGTCAGAGAAAAAAAAAAAAGCAATAATAAAAGCAAAACTTTCCCAGTGTGATGAAAACTTTAAACCCATATGGGAAGAACAGAGTTAACATAGACCTGAGACAGGTATCCTTAGAAAGCCCTGCTTACAATGTTGGTCCTTGTCTACCTTTGGGAGCCTAGATTTCAGAAGGGTTACCACCGTTCCCTAAATGATAAACAATGGCTCCTCAACCCAAACTGTGCAAACAATATGGCTTATGCTGAATACCTGTTTTCCTTCTTGAAATCTGGAATGTTGGTACATGCTAGGCAGAGAGTGCTGACATTACCAGCACCCAATAAAAACCCTGGACATTGAATGACTAATAAGCTCCCCAGCAGATAACACATTACATGTGTTGTCAAAACTCACTGCTGGAGCAATTAAGCATATCCTGTGTGACTCCACGGGAAAAAGACTCTTGAAAAATTGCTCATTTTTCTTTTTATCTTTTCATGTAATAAATCATAGCCATGAATATGACTGTATGCTAAGTTCTGAGTGTCTTCCTAGCGAATTACTGAACCTAGAAGTGGGCTTGGGGGGGCCCTGACACACCACAGATCCAAGAAGCTTAAGAAACTCCAAGCAGAAAATCATACCTAGACATGTCATAATCAAACTGCTTAAAACAAGTGATAAAGAAAAAAATCTTAAAAGATCAAGAGTAAGAATACCTTTTCAGGCTTCTTGACAGCTTACTCTGTAACTAGAAGACAATGACGCCTTCAAAATTCTGGAGAAAATTTCCAACCTAAAATTCTATAGAAATTTTCAATCACATGTCAAAGGTCATAAAATGCACCTTCTGACATGCCAAGTCTCAAAAAATTATTTTTCACAAATCCTTTCTTGGAAGCTCTTGGAAGATGTGCTCAATCAAAATGAGAGAGAAGGGCCGGCCAAGCGGCATGTTGGTTAGGAGCTGGCTTGGGATGCCAGCTGTGAACAGCAGGACCCAGGTTCAATTCCACATGAGGGCCAGATGCTGTGCTCTCTACAGCTAAGATGGTGAACAACAGCTCAACCTGGAGCTGGGATGCCATGAGTCGCCGGCGATGGCGTACGCTGCAATGGAGCTGGCCGGCAGCGGGCATGAGCTTCCATGAGCTGCCATGAGTGGCCCATCTAATGGTCAGCAAGCGACTACCTCACCCGGGAAGAGTGCAATGATAATACCAACATGGGCCAGTGAAGCAACGTCCACCACAACTAGACTGAAGAACAAACAGACAGCAACTTGTCTGTTCCCCTCCAATTCCCCAATAAAATCTTAAAAAAAAAAACAAGTGAGAGAGTAAACCAAGAAAAAGGAAGACACGGAATCTAGGATAAAGTTGCTCCACACAGGAGAGGTAAAGGGAATTCTCAGAAAGAGAGTGAAGGGAGACCTAAGGCTTGCAACATCCACAAAGCAGAGGACACAGCTAGGATGTTATGGGAAAGAGTTCTCTAAGAAAAAAAGAATGACAGAATGCCTGAAATCTTTAACAGGAGAGCTCTGAAAATCTTTAACAGAAGAGCTAAACAATGGTGAAAAATTAAAGTTTTATTAATGATGAGTAAAACTAGGCAAATAAAACCCCAAAATAATTAACTCCAAGGAAAATTTTGAAAAGTTGTAAAGGAAAAGTACTCATAATTAATATATGCCTTGGTTACAAATATTATTTATTCACAATTATGTAATGCTGAATGTTAATCTAACCAAACCGTGATATAACTGTCCAAGTAGAATAGAGGGATGGGTAAAGGTCAACATGTAGCAGGCGATGAGGAATGGTAAGAAGAGAACTCAATATTTACCCATGTTTAGAAGTACATTACAAGCATTTTATTTAGAAATAAGGAGATAAAGAAAAAAAATCGTCCACTAAGAGTCAAAGTGGTTATCCCTGAGAAAGGAGTAAAAAACAAAACACCAAAAGGCTATGATTAACAAATGCCATTAACAGAATAAAAATATTGAAACAATTCATTCTTACCTGAGGAAGCTCAGATGCCCTTTCTTCACTTGTCAAAGAATGACTGCTTGTACAAGAAGCACAGTCTGATATTTCCACAGCCCTCTCACTGTCTTCAAATTCATTACATTCACTAGTATCTTCTCTGTCACTGTCACTCTCCCACTCAACAAACTGTGGTTCATCTAGAAAATACAACTTTAAACTTAATTTTATATAATTTAAATGCAATTTCAAACTTAATTTTATTTTTTAAATATTTTTTTCTACTCTCAGTAGTTAAAAAGATCCATAGTGCTCAATAATTTTGTTTAAATATATTAAAAAACAGTGAAAGGTACATCCCTACTCTTCTCTCTACACATCTTACTTCTCCTAAGTCTTACCCCCACCCCAATTCTCAGGTAACTACTTTTATTAGTTGTTTTTATATACTCCTAGTTTCTTCAACAAGTTAATGCAAATAAAGTTTACTGTTAATTTTTTCCCTTCTAATACACTTCGTTTTAACATAACTGAAAGGTTTTTCCACATCAGTAAACAGGGAACATCCTCATTCTTTTCTACAATATAGTAATCCAATTACACAGTTGACCCATAGTTTATTTAATCAGTCTTCTATTAATAAAAACGGTCAAGGATTTTCACCCCAAAATTTTTTTTACAGGTTTCTCTCATCAGTGAGGAAACAAGTTAATTTACTTTTTAATTTACTTCATAAGCAATATGATGCTACTTTTGCAAACTTTTAATTTGAAAGTAAAATTATTTCATATATTAAATAACAAAATGCACTGAATCTAATCTGCTATGCTTACAGAGATGAAAGTAGTTACTAAGGATAATTTAATCTCGAGGTATGGCATATAATGTAAACATTTCCTACAACACAAAGCACAAGTACTGCCTCACAGCTACTTCAGCAACTCAGAAGACTAATAAGATATCTTGGCCCTATTTCAGAGGTCTGGCAGCAACAATCTCACTTCCAGATAGAAGGAATATTAAAAAGTAAAAAACTTACTAGCTCTAATATCTGAAGGAATTTCAAATGAAAAAAATGTTTAACCTAAGTTTAAAACTTATGAGATAAAGTAAATAAAAATAAGTCTTCTTTACTGCTGTTTCCAGAAGAGGTAAAAGTCTACTGTAATAATCACAAAAGACTGGGCAGACCAGTCTGAGAGAAGTAAATGCATGATGGCAATTATTTCCCATACCTAACATCACATTTACTCACGGAAGCTAGGCAAGACAATGCATAAGGCAAGAGAATGCATAAGAAATTCTACAGGTTGCTGAACCATCACATCAGGAAGCCATGGGAAAGCCAGAGGAGGAGCACACCTCAGATCTACTGCTACTACCACCAGTATCATGCATTTTTGTAATATTCTTCATTCATTCTATAAAGCCAATGCCTACTAGGGCCTATGGCACCATTCAATACACTCACAATACAAATACACACACACACACACACACACACACACACACACACACACACACACACACACACACACTCTCTCTCTCTCTCTCTCTCACAGAGGAGGGAATGCAGAACACTGTTCCTAAGCTGGAGTAGACCACAGATGAACACTTATATTAAATGTGATGAGTACTATAAAATGATATCTCACAACCAAGACTAGACCTTTCATTTGGTCCCAATAATTTTATAAAGCAGGGAAGACAATTACTGTTAGACGAAAATTTGCATTTTACAGGTGAGGAAATTGAGTCTCCATGAAGTTAAGAAATTTTCCCAAAGTTACATAAAAGACAAATGGAGAGGAAAATAATTTTTAAGAGGAAACTATTCTGACAATTTTAACTCAGGTTTCTTCCCTCTCAATCCCAATTCTGGGCCTTAAAGTCCAGAGACTCTAATCCAATAGAGCTGGAAGGTCTGGGAATATTGTTTTTAAAGCTCGCCTACTAATTCTGATAAGAAGCCAGGTCTAGTAACCACCAGAACAGTGCTGAAGAACACAGCACTGCAGTTAGGCATTGCTAGCTCTGAATATCAGTTGGCACACTTATTAATTATGTGACTCTGGGCAAGTGACTTGACTTCTCTAAGTCCCAATTTCTTCTATAAAATGAGGATACTTAGCTCACAGGATCTAATAGATATCAAAGGATATAACATATGTAATATGCAGCCAGGTGTCTGGGATAAAACAATAACTTAATAAATGGTAATTAAATGTAAAATGGAGAGATGGAGGAGAGAGAAAAGGAAAGGGAAAAAGAGGGAAGAAGATAAAGATAAACAAGCAGCTGTACACATGACTAGATATATTCCGAGGGATCATTTACTTGTTACCTAATAGTCAACTTATTTAAGAGAAGTCAGCAATTTGCTAACTCATTTTAAAGTAATTAGCTCAAAGCATCTTTCCATTCTTAACGTTTTGGAAACTACCAAGTATCTCTTTTAACACAAGAGGACATACACAGTTTTTTAATAACAGCTTTACTGAGATGTAATTCACATACCACACTATTCACCCATAAAAAGCATATAGTTTTTGGGCCGGCCGAGTGGCGCGATGGTTAAGAACTCGCTTGGGATGCCAGAGGGCCCCGGTTCGGATCCCACATATGAGGGCCAGTGACACTGCCCTCCACAGCTAAGATGCTGAACAACAGCTCAACCTGGAGCTGGGCTGCCATGAGTTGCCGGCGACGGCGTGGGCTGCAGTCCCTATGGCAGTGGATTGCCATGGGCTACCGTGTGTAGCCAGCAGCCAGCGTGAGCGGCCAGCAGCCGCAGTGAGCGGCCGTCCAGAACCCGGCGACTGATGTGCCTTGCCAGAGAAGAGCGCAATGATGGTGCCAACTTGGGCCAGTGAAGCAACATCCTCCACAACTAGATTGAAGAACAAAAACGACAGCAACTTGTCTGTTCCCAATTCCCCAGCACTGTTCCCATCCCCCCAATTCCCCAAGGGAAAAAAAAAAAAAAAGCATATAGTTTTTAATAATGAAATTATGTTCTAAGATGTGTGAAGACAAACCAAGAGTTGCATAACAATGAATTTCATTTAATATGGTTGAAATAACAATATAAGCCCTATGAAAATACCATTTCACCTGGCTATGACTAAAATGTCAACTGGCACTAATCAAGATGGCATAAAAAGTGGCCAAAAGAATGTAATCACCTTTCACAGGGGCTATCTGTACAAACTTAACCTTGACTAAGTAACTAACATGAACTGTCAAAGTAAGATTTAAAAGTCAAAGCTTATTTCGAAAGCCTTAGGACTTTTATATACTCTTAAATGAGCTATGTATTCTAAAATGTTGTAAAAGAACATGATTTCCATAATTCTAAGTCTGCGGTTCTCAACTGGGGGTGATTTTGTCCTATAGGGGGCATCTGACAATATCTGGAGACATTTTTGGTTGTCACAACTGCTATCACCTAATGGATAGAGGCCAGAGATGCTGCTAAACACCCTACAATGTACAGAAAAGCTCCCCTCCTCCCAACAAAGAATGATCTGGCCCTAAATGGCAATAATACCAAGGCTGAGAAACCCTGTTTTCAACAGTCAAAACACGATACAATATAAAACGCCATCAGAACAGAAACTTGTAAGTTATGCTTCTACCACACAATGGTTGTCATAGTATTTACCCAAAACAGGTTAGCAAGGAGGCAATATGGGTGTAGCATTAATTAACTAGTTGAGAGAACTGGCTTTGTCATCAAAGAAACCCAAAATGGAATCCCAACCAATTCTAACATGTTCAAGATTAAATTGTTAACAGTAAAATACTACTACTAATGTCTATCTCTTACAGCTGTTTTGAGAAATATTAAATGAGAAAATGTTTCTGAAGTTAAGCTAGAGGCTGGGACTCAATAAGATCATAATCAATGCTAAGTTTTAGAAAAGGAATGTAAGTTTTTCCAATATTGAACCCAATATATAATAAAAACTAAATTTCTTACAAAATTATCTATTTACCTTCACTGGCCCCATCTTCTGGACATAAAATGTTCCTGTTACAAAACCTGTCTATTCTAGAACCACAGGTCCATTATCTCTCTGTGATTTAAAAAGTTTTCTACCTTCATATGACAGATCACTTCCACTGGAACTCCAGGTGATATCCGTACACCCACTGGTACTCTTAGATGTGGTAGCTTCTGTTAAAGAAAAAGAAAATACATTTTAAAAGATCAACTGTATGGTTACCAGAATGAGATTTCATGCATGTTACTTTGCCAAAGTTACAAATACACAAAATTCTGATGATAGTGGAAGCAATGTCTATGTCAAATGTCTCTGCCTAAAATTCTATGTGCAACTTGGCTAAGATTCTCTAAATGAAAGCCAAATTATAAGAAGATAAAGAAGTAGAACTGATTCAGATACATTATAAGAAACAAGGAAAATGACTGGAGCACAAATAAAAACTCAAAAAATTACCTTGAAATAATTACAAAGCTATATAACTTCCAAGAATATTTGACGAAACCAAAAATAATTAAATAACAGAAAACAAACCACAAAACAAAACTTATGTATAACGAGAATGCTTCTGTGTTTCTCCTTTGCCATACTAAGAGCCGTGGGGCAGCAGTGTGCTTAAAACATTTAATAGAAAACTTTTACACTTAATTAAACTTGTTAGTTTGAGATATTAGACTCACATACAGTTATTAGAAATAATAGATGATGCTTCACCCAGTTCCTCCATTGGTAACATTCTAGAAAACTATAGTACAACACCACAATCATTAATACATGTACTGACACCATCAAAATACAGAAAAATCCCATCACCAGGAAGATATCGTGTATTAATATTACCTTTTTAAACCACACCATAGCCTCCCTCCCCACCACAATTCCTAACCACTGGCAACCACTAATCAGTTCTGCCACTTCTATAACTTTGTCAAATTAAGAATGATATATAAATGGAGTCATGCTACATAATGTTTTAGGATTGGCTTTTTTCACTCAGCATAATTTCCTGGACATTCATTCAAGCTCTTATATATATACATGTTGTGTGTATCAACAGTTACATTCTTTTTATCACAGAGTATTCCATGGTATGGACGTAACACAGTTTGTTAAATCATTCACCCATTAGAAGACATCTGTGTTATTTCCAGTTTGGGGTTATTATAAATGAAGCTGCTATGAGCATTCTCTACAGGACTTGAAGTAGATGTAATTTTTATTCTCTGGGATAAATGTCTAAGGGTACGAATGCTGGGTTGTATGGTAATTGCATGTTTAGTCTTATAAGAAACTGCCAAATTGTTTTCCACAGAGGCTATACCATTTCACAGTTCCACCAGCCATGTGTGAGTGGTGCAGTTTCTCCACATAACCGACAGCATTTGGTGCTATCACTACTTTTTATTTTAGTGATTCTGATAAACAGGGAACCAAGAAAGAATGGAGTTACTACTCCATATTAGTGGAATTGGTGGTCAAGAGGAAACTTTTCTGATATTGATCAGAAAAGAAATACATACCTAATAAAAATCTATTTTTCTACTCATATTCATAATTGATCAATAATGACAAATTTTTTTTTTAAGATTTTATTGGGGAATTGGGGGAGGGGAACAGTGCTGGGGAATCGGGGGAAGGGGAACAGACAAGTTGCTGTTGTTTTGTTCTTCAGTCTAGTTGTGGAGGATGCTGCTTCACTGGCCCAAGCTGGCACCATCACTGCGCTCTTCCCGGGCGAGGCAGATCAGTCGCCAGCCTCTGGACGGCCACTCACGGCGGCTGCTGGCCACTCACACTGGCTGCTGGCTACACATGGTAGCCCATGGCAACCCACTGCAGCAGGGGACTGCAGCCTACGCCGTCGCTGGCGACCCACGGCAGCCCAGCTCCAGGTTGAACTGTTGTTCAGCATCTTAGCTGTAGAGGGCAGTGTCACTGGCCCTCTTATGTGGGATCCGAACCGGAGCCCTCTGGCATCCCAAGCCAGTTCTTAACCATCGCGCCACTCGGCCAGCCCTAATGACAAAATTTTTTAAAAATTTAAAAAGCCCCTTAGTTAGGGCCGGCTGAGTGGCTCAGTTGGTTAAGAGCTCGCTCAAGAGTTTGAGCTCTGAGCAACAGCGGTTCGAGTCAGCCCGAGCTGAGCAGCCGTGAGCTGCCAACAGGTGGCGGGATGGCTCAGCTAAAAAAAAAAAAAAAAGCCCCTTAGCCACATTTCAATATACTATGAAGTTAAGATATTGGATATTGTAATTCAGTTTTACAGAACAAGAAACAGGTTCAGAAGCTAAATGGCTTCATTCTATACATACCTATAAACACCTGATACATTAAGCCATGATGAAACAAATAAATATAAGAAAACTCCCAGAGGGTCCAAGATGGCAGATTAGGTAAACAATGCGCCTACTGCATCCCAGGATCACACCAAGATTACAAATTAATTATACAACAATCGTCTGAAGACTAGTGAAACAGAAATCCTGTAACTCATAACAATAGAAAAAAGAGGCCACATCAAAACTGATAGGAGCGGCAGAGGCACAAAACAGGCTGACCCCAAACCCACACACAATGGATGAATGCCAGGAGGAAAACCTCTGTAGCGGAAGTCCCCACTGAGGAGGGGTCCTGTGCCAGGAGGAGGACTTCCCACAACATCTGGCAGTGAAAACCTGCGAGGACTCTCTGTCTGCCTGTCCTGGTGAGATGGAAAGCAGTTGGAAACCCAGATGCCCTCTTACAGAGCCCACACACATACTCATTTGCTTGCAAACACTCACCAGGTCTCCAATGCAGGGACAATGGCTTGGGAGGCCCAGAGATACGCAGGAAAAGACTGAATTGTGTGCTTTGAGGAGAGGGCTGGAGCCATAGGATCCATGATTATCCCTGTGTGGAGTCTGACATACATATAGCCTATAGAAGGATGACATCTTTTCTGTGTGGAGCACCCCCCCAAAGAGCCAAGTCTGGGATTGCATTGGTCTGGTGGCATGCATGCGTGCACACTGTCTTGGTGACACCCAGGGTCCTGGCCCTCTGCACAGCAGGTGCTACATCACCTGGGACACTCTTAAGTGCTGGCCTACTGGCCCTGCCCCACAGGATGTGGAAGCCTTTTGCAACAGTGGACAGCCCACGACAGTCAACGAAATGTTGGCTGCTAGGCAGTGACCCAAGATAAAAGCATCTCTTGGGCAGCTCTCAAAAACCTGTAGGTCTGAGGTAGGCAGTGCCTAGCCACAGTATTATCAGTGTTTTTACAGTGTGGACCCAACCCAGCACCTGTGTGGGAGACCAAGACAAGGCTGACTTTCTAAAAACGACCACCCACAACCCTTAGCTCCCTAGAACCCCACCCTGCCCACCTATAGCTGCATTGCCAGGGGCACTTTCTCCACCTGGGAGGCCCACTCAAGCCCACAAGCCACAGAAACCTTTTACAGCAGTGAATGCCCGGAATACCCCACAGAGCTTTTGGTGGTAGACAGTGACCCAAAGCCTGTTCTGTAGCTATTCTTCTGCAGCTCTCAGGGATTTACAAACCTGAGGCAACCAGTGGCTGCCTGCTGTGTCCTAAGGGCATTTCCTAAGTACTCACAGACCAGGCACTGACACGAGGTATCAGAGGCTGGCTGTAATGTTCTAAATGTGCTTTGAGAAGTGGTCACACGCTGGGCACTGGTGCAATAACTCAATCTGCATTAACATTGTAAAAATCACCAGCAATCATCTCATGATTCCCTGGGACTCGACCCTAACCAGCTAGTGCTGCATCACGAAGGGAACTCTCAACGCTAGGTCAACCAGCCTGGCCCACACACCTAAGGCGGGTCTTGCAATAGCTGAACCTTACGGGCAGCTAGGAGGTGGCAATAGGCCTAGGAGGTGCTCGGCCTCTTGCTAATCTGCCTCAGGCCCAAAGCTGGGGGCACCCGGGCATGGTTCACAGCAAGGCCACCCCCCACACGCCTCCACGTCCAGCACAGACAGCAGCCAAACACAGATAGCTTTGTAGCTCCTACAGGAATCCATAGGCCGGTAACAGGCAAGAGCAAAATTGGCCTGCAGGGGAGCCCCTCCCAAGAGACGCCGGAAACAACACACCCAGAGGCCAGCTTTAGAACACATTAGAGCACTACCTGGTTAGCCCCACAAGCAGGAGACCCATAGGGAGGTCTCAACAGGCACAGGAGCCCCTGGGGACGAATCCTCCTCTGAGGAGTCAGCCCCCACACAGCAGCTCATACAATATGGCCATAGCCAATGCTCACAGGCAGCCAGCCTGGGAGTCCATCACACCCACCGACACACCAAAAAAATCAAGGCTCAACTACAATATGAGAACACACACAACACACTCAAGGGACACTCCTGGAAGACACTCAGAGGAGATGAGGGAGACTGCATCATTGGACCACACAGGACACATACTACATACAGCCACACAACAAAGACAGACATAGGAGATCTACCTAATACATAGAAGCAAACACAGAAAGTCAGCCAGAATAAGGAAACAAAGAAACATGTCCCAAATAAAAGAACAAAAGAAACCTCCAGAAATGGAACTAAATGAAATGGAGGCAACCAACTTACCGGAGACAGAGTTTTAAACACTGATTATAAGAATGCTTAAGGAACTTGGTGAGAGTTTCAGCAGAGAGATAGCGAGCATAAAGAAGGACATAGAAACCATAAAAAAGAACCAGTCAGATGTAAAGAATACAATAACTGAAATGAAGACTTTTCTAGAAGGAATCACCAGCAGATTAGATGAAGCAGAGGATCAAATCAGCAATTTAGAAGACAGGATAGCATAACACACCCAATCGGAACAACAAAAAGAAAAGAGAATTAAAAAAAACAATGAAGACAGTTTAAGAGACCTGTGGGACAACATCAAGCATAACAACATTCGCATCACGGTACCAGAAGGAGAAGAGAGGAAGCAAGGAATCGGGAACCTATCTGAGGAAATAATGACCGCAAAATGTCCCTAACCTGGTGAAGGAAATTGACATACTAGTCCAGGAAACGCAAAGAGTCTCAAACAAGGTGAGCCCAAACAGGCCCACACCAAGACACATCATAGTTAAAATGGCAAAGGTTATAGACAAAGAGAGAATCCTAAAAGTAGCAAGAGAAAGGCAGCTAGTTACTCACAAGG